TCTAGCATAAAACCTTTTCAAATACAATCTACATTGTGGTTAGCCAAGTCTAGAGTTTGACTTAACTTTAAAGGACACATCACTGTCCACCGTTACACCCCAGTCACCCTTTTACCAAAAAATTTGGTTTGTTTTTTTTTGTATTTAACCTGAGGGGGTTTTTAATTTGGTTGTTGACAGTGAATTTTGATCCTTTAATGAAAACATTTTATTGTCAAAAGATCACTGTGAGATATATTGTGTATGATTGAAGACAGTGTAGTGGATGAAGAAAGGGGGGAGACAGTCCAATGAAGAGATAATTATTCTCACCAAAAAGTTTAACTTGAATATTAGTAACTTCAGAGAAGTCTGAGGACATGAATTAAGATATCTTTAAAATGGCAGCAATAACATATTTTGTTAACTTTAAAGCTATTACAGGTAATTGATATTTTCTTGTTAATGGATATGATTCACTTGGTGTGTAAAATAGTTTATCATCTAGATGTGTTTTCATTTTCGTGAGCAACAAGTTGAGTCACTGGAGCAATAAGTTTTTTATTCAGGCTGTGTTCTATATCCCATAAAAATAGCTTAATAAAGATGAAACAATGTTATCAATCATTTAGCTCATTTTGCTTACATTGTAGATCCAAATCTGGATGATGATCAAATCACCCAGGGAGCTTTGTTTTTAAATGAGAATTTTCAAATATATGCAGAAATAAAGAGAATAATATATATACCTATCATTCTGATTCAACAGTTATCTCTGTTTTTCACATTTCATACTTCCTTTGACATTTGTTTCCTTGTTGAAGTGTTTTCAGTCCCAGACATTATTGTAATTGTACTTCTTTAGTTTGCATCTCTTAGAAATATGAACATTTTCCCATATTATCCCAAAGCTATTATTGTACAGTTATGTGCCACATAACATTGTTTCGGTCAATGATAGAGTGCATATATGATGGTAGTCCCATAAAATTATAATGGAGCTGAAAAACTCCTATCACAAGTTCCTGTCACCTAGTGACATAGCCATTATAACGTCACAGTGCAATTACTATATGTTTAAAATAAAGTTAGTGTAGCCTAAGTTTATAGTGTTTATACGGTCTGCAGTTATATACAGTAATGTCCTAGGCCTTCACATTTACTTACTACTCACTCTAACTCACCCAGAGTCATCCAATCCTGTAAGCTCCATTCATGGTCCTATACAGGTGTACCATTTTTTATCTTTTATACTATATTTTTGCTGTACCTTTTTTATGTTTACTTACGTTTAGATACACAAATACTTGGCATTGTATTACAGTAGCCTACAGTATTCAGTATAGTAACATGCTCTAGAGTTTTGTAGCCTAGGAGCAATAGTCTGTACCGTATATCCTAGGTATGTAGTAGGCTATACCATCTAGGTTTGTATAAGTATGCTTTATGATGTTTGCACAATGACAAAATCACCTAATGACACATTTCTCAAAAAGTATCCTTGACGTTAAGTAACACCTGACTGTACTTAAAAAATTTAGCAATAATCTTGGGAAGCTTTTCAAAAGTACAAATTCATCTATATTCTTACAGTTGTAAGGGTGCCTAAAAACATTTAATCTTTTAAAAGCTCTTCAAGTAATTTAGAAAATTAATTGGGCTTGGGAACCAGTGGTCTGCATAAGCAATTGATTTCATTGAACTTTTCAAAATGTTGGGGTCACTCTAGAGTATACCCCAGTGATACCTAATGACTATTCTATAGTGTTTTATGAATTATTCTACAAGAATTAGACGTCATTTTTTTCTAGATCTCAGTGTGCTTAAAAAAGTAATAATATATCCTTGAGTTTTCTATTCACTAGTAAAATCAAGTCTTTTATATCATACTATAAGTAAAAGCACTGTTTCTTCTTACCATTCAAGGAGATTAGGAACGAAATTCATGGCTTCTAAGCAGCAAGCCAAGTGAAAGGATAGTAGCATGCATTTAAATTTTAAACATAAGTATAAAAATTGGTTAACTGCCATTGTATTTATAGTATTTTTATTTTTTAAGTGGTCCCTGTTAGTCATTTAGTTACTGAAATCCATGTTATTACTACAGTTTTTTTTTAAAGTCCCATT